GTTTTCAGTTCTGGAAGCTATTTTGTAGCCTGCTGCTGTTCCTTTTCCACTTTCTTTATATGCTTCTTGAGATTTGGGCACCATGCAACTGCTGCATATTTCAGTTTTGGTCTCACAAAAGTAGTGAACAGTTTTAGTATTTCGTCATTCATATACGGTAATTAAAAGCAAGTCTGAAGTTGGAACACGACGCATATGCTCCTTTCACAATGTTCTTTGTGTTTTCCTCTGGCGACAGCTTACAATCCAAAACCACCCTTAGGTCTCGTTCTTTATTAGAGTTTTGTAATGCCATTCCACATGTGTAAGTTGTGTTGTCTATTTTTTCCGAATCCACATTCAATAACACAGCATTTATTCACATTGAATTCCATTTGCCATTTTAGGCTCCAAGCACTTATTGTATCTAGATGAATTTGAAGGGCATTACAATTGGTCTGCATCTCCTATCTTCCCCAGTAGTTTAGCGTCTATTATAGAGGCAAGGGAATTATAATTATAGAAGCACAGGTACCAGTATTATAATTATAGAAGCACAGGTACCAGTATTATAATTATAGAGGCACAATAAGCCAATAAAAATTCAGACACAGTATATACAAACTTTATAACACCATTGATAGGTATAACCATGGCATAATAGTCCATAAAGTGAAAGCTAAGTGAATAACAGAAGCAAAATGGACAGTATTTTAAACTTTCTAGCAAGCAGAATGCAAAAAGTGACAGTACAATATCCATATTCATCCTACTGAGATTAGTTTAAATGAAAGTTGCAAGGGAATTAAATAACCATGAAAGTGACTCAGATCTTGCAAGAATATGACTTGGTACATACATTCAGGGTCACCTTATTGTTTGTCACCCTTAAATATTTCTCTTGTGGCCCTTGCTACGTGCCATCTTGTCAGTTAACTTCATAGTTCTGTATTTTTCTGCCATCAGCAGTTTTAGTTGTGGAGTTTTTGTGTGTGTATCCATCCCAATCCTGCATTCTTAGCCAAGAAAGAGTAGTGCTTTTTGGAGAGCCCATTTTGGTTATGGCTTATCTTGAGATGCTTTCGAGGCTTAGTGTCCCCGCGGCCCGGTCCTCAACCAGGCCTCCACCCCCAGGAAGCAGCCCGTGACAGCCGACTCACTCCCAGGTACCTATTTACTGCTAGGTAACAGGGGCATCAAGGTAAAAAAAACTGCCCATTGTTTCTCGCCAGCACCCGGAATCGATCCGGGGATCACAGGATCACGCGTGCAGTGTTCTGTCCACTCAGCCGCCGGCTTGGCTTGTCAATTCTCAGGCTTGTCGCATTATGTGACCGACCTATGGTGGCTTTGTGCTATCATTTTAGAGCCTCTAAGAATTCTTGTACAGATTTCATTTTTAAATCCCCAGACTATATTTATTGGCACTGTACTACATTACATAATTTTCCAAGTGTTTTGCAGAGTGGTAATGCCAAGTCAGCTACAGGCATATATTTATGCTCATCCCTGCATGTATGTGTCACCTTCAAGAGTTTTTCTCACGTGTCCCATTGAGACATTTGAGTTGAAAGGTTCTGGAAATTGACCCTCCATGTCTGCATCCGGTTCCTGCTCAAGATACATTTATTTAACTGCCAGTTTATCACCAAGAGACAGCTGTTGTCTTCCAGATACTGTCCTGTATTTGTCTTTGCTGCTCGAGAGTTTAGATGCTGGGATGTGTGGTATTGGTATTGTTCTTGGCCCCAGCTATGTATATCTTCTAATTGAGGTTTTCGCTAGGGGGAACAACCAAGTTACATCAGTTGGAAATCTTTCTTTTAGAGTACAGTACAGTTACACAGAAATCACACTAATATATATCAATGAGAAAATCAGCTGAACCTCGAGTCGCCTGAATCATCTGAAGAGCGAGTCTCCTCAGAGCTCCAGTTGATTTTCTCATACAGTACAGTTATGAAAAGTGGTTTTGTGATGAAGCTGCTCAGTTGTTTTCTGGTTATCCTCTTCCATTCTAATTGGTAGTGTATGGCTGCTAATTAGTGTTTTGAAAGCCTTTTGGTATTTTGAAATGTACGATCTATCAGTTATTCAGAACTGAACTTGAGTATTTCCCAGTGGTCTCAGCACTAGTATGGCCAGCATGGATAATTTGAAAAGATCCCAGCTGTACTGGTGTAGATTGTTGACTGACTTAGAAATGTGCTTCCTCATAATCCAGTAAAGTACTGTACATTATTGTACTCATAAGTTATGTTGCTGTTTTCATCTCCCCCCCCCCTGTTTTTATCTTAACTTTTTATTTATATACAGTATAGTTAGCTCAGAGATTACAAATTATTTTTAATATATAGTAGGTAGGTTTTTTCAGTAACATGACAGTATTTATCTTCATCAGTAACACTTTGCATCTAACAGTTTTTAAAAGTTCATAACTAATAAGTTGCTTTTCAGAATCCAGGCTACATGAAGGAGAGTTTTTATATTACTATAGAGACACTTCATGCAGCTGACGATGGGGAGTCCGAGAATGTGAGTGGTGCGGTGCCGAGTAGAGCATGTTGCGACTCCTCGCTGATGCTTCTCATATTTTCATTGGCACTATATAACAAATTATATATTTTAATTGCTATAAATTTTTCAAGGCTGTGTTATTTTATAGTTCAATAGTTGCATGTTTCACAATTCTTTTCCAAACTTAATCTTCACTTACTCCCTTACTGCAGTTCTTGAAAAAAATTAATTCATTATCACTGTACGTTTTAAAGAGCAATATATATATAATTTTTGTGCTTAGCTTTTAGTACAATTGTTTCCCCTCTCATAATCACAAAGCATTGTCAGTTATGTCATCAGATTATATGCATATCCATGACTATAGGCATTATGGTACACATCTACAAGGGAAGTTATATTAATTTTTACAATGTTTTATTTGATGTAATTTTTGTCAACAAAGCAGTCATGTTTCCTTTTCTATATATTGTATCCTTACCTTGTGAACTGCCAGTCTCGCCTGCAGTTGTTGTCCTAGATATGTATTTACTCTACTGTTGCACTTTTTTATCCTATATTTTTTACCTATTTAACACATCATATATAGAGTAGAAATACAAAATGCTTTTGAATTACCTGTATTCCTCATTTAGAGTAGCATTTACTCGACACCCTCTTCAACAGGTGAGAAGCAGTAATTCTTAGGCCAACTTTTTTTTATATATATTTTTTTATTTCTTAAAATTTCTCTTCACCTGCATGGCAGAATCCTGGCTATATGAAGAAAAATTTTATGATTTCCGTTGAGACACTTCATGTAGCTGATATGGGAACCACGGAAAATGTGAGTATTTTGTTAATCATGTTAAAATACTGTAATAATAATAATAATAATAATAATAGTTCGCAAGTACATTACAGGTGTGAATAATAGTACAGTATTAATTTCATAGCTCATATGATGCACAGCATCTTATGCAAGTCTAAAGCTAATAAATAACTTTATATGGAGTTGCATGGCTTGGATGATAGCACTGACATAATAGATTATGTACATATTGCAGTAGATCTTGTATTTTTCAAGAGATATCAGGCATGAATAGACAAGTACAGAGCACTCATTCTCACACTCGGCTCTCTTCCTTGCTTGCTCTCTTTCTCCATCCCATGCTTACTCATTTTCTTCCAATCCTCTGCCTTTCCACTTACTCCCCCAATCCTCTGCCTGTCCACTTACTCTCCCAATCCTCTGCCTGTCAACTTTCTATCCCAATCCTCTGCCTGCCCACTTTCTCCATCCCCTGCCTGTTCACATCACATGAGCAGGTACATTCCACACTACATTTCTCTTATGTACCAGTATGCTTCATTCTTAAGTATGGGGTGCATAGTCAATGAACTAAAATAACTCTTCTTTTAACAGTAAATCAGATTGGTGTGTTTCATGTATCTATGATGCCTGTCTAAGTGTGTGACTAATATTTATGTCAAGGTGTATTATCAAATTTCATAAACACATTTTTCCCTCTTGAGTAGTTTAATGTGTTATTGTATAATGTACTCTAAGATCATGGTAACTTGGAATCCAGTAACCTAAATTAAAATGTTCAATAAAGTTGTATGGGCATTAAGGAAACTTAAACATGGGATGTTTGTTAAATCATGATACTTTACAATTGCTCAAACTTGTGGAACTACTGCTGTATGCTCTATCTACAAATATTAAATATTATATAGAGGTAGCTAGTTCTTAAGTTTGCTTTTGTGCAATAGTTTCCGTTCATTATTAAGAGATTAAAGCGTTCTAATGTTACATTATTAACCACAGGCTCACAAACTGACGGGAGAAAAGCTGAAAATACGCGACGTAGTGACAATTGACATTGCCAATGATCCAGTTAAATCTTCAGATTATAAACCTAAAGAGGACCCAACAAAGTTCAAGTCTGAGAAAACTGGCCGTGGTCCTCTGAAAGGTCCACAGTGGTGGAAGAAGGTAGGAGGCACAGATCATGATTTTGTTGTATGCAGTGTCTATATTAATTTTAGTCAGCACATTAGTTTAAAATTTTTTTAAAATTTGACAACAAATAACTTACCGTAGCTTATCGAGAGCAAGAGAAGGTAGAGAGGAACATACATCCTGTGCTGGAAAGGAAAATTTATTGAAATTGTAAAGGAAAAGATATTCCACATGCCAGCTGAAGAATGTCTGATAATTGTGGTTTTGATGTCATACTGCAAAAACTAAAAGAAAAGTTTGAATAAACCGCAACAAAAAAGTGAGAGTTACAATTTTCAGAACAAAAATTTTCCTGTGCGAACATGGTACGTAAAGCTAAACAATTAATAAAAGTTAAGGATTTTGTCATCATCAAATCCTAGCTTGGATCCAGATGTTGTCGAGACTGTGAAAGTCTTTTATTGCAGTGATGAAGTCGGCAGAATTATGCCTGGCAAGAAGGACTTTGTGACAGTAGTGGTGGTGCAAACAGAGCACATTCAAAAGAAGCTAATCTTAACGCCATGCATTGTGCTGTTATTTCATGTAAAAACGTTATGGTGCAGGGGTTAATAAATTATTAACAATAACTCGCATTATAGACAAATTTGAAAAATGTCAAACTATTGTCAAACTCATCAATTTTAATTTAAAATGCTAAAAAGTTAAAAACATATAAAAACATAAGGCACTAATTTGGTATGATTGTAAGGTTTCCTCAGATGTATGTGACATTATTTTTCATTCTCTGAGACGGTAATTTCCATAAACAAGTGCTAAGATATTCTATTGAATGAGAGGTATGAAATTTTCATATTTTTGTATTTCTGTTTAATCCTGTTCCCAAAGTTATCCCCAAATGAAACTTGTACAAAAGGTCACATTGTGATCTTGAAATTAAAAAATTCAATATTTAATGTAAAATTATTTGTAATGAAAACAATGCTTTCTTAGCTTCAAAATAAGAACAATATAAAGGTTCTACCTTAATTAGAAACAAATTAATTTTTTTTTTTTTTTTGTCACATTGTAAGCAAAAATTTAGCTTTTAACATTGGCACTTCTGCTGTATTACTGACTTTTATCGAGTACTAAAATTTTGCATATATTTTTTTTCCCAAGTGAAATTGCCTAAGTGTAGTTACAGGATTAGAGCTACACCGGTGTTGTCCTATTTTCCCAGTACACTGTACTCTGTCTTATGACACTTTGAAACTCCTGATGGTTTTGGCATCCACCATCCTCTTGTTCCAACCATTTACCATTCTTTATGTAAAAGTAAATTTTCTGGTGTTTTTTCAGCAGCTGTATTTCCTTAGTTTAAATATTTGACCTCTTGTTCTTGAGAGTTTTCAAGAATTCTTTGTCAATTTTGTCAAGTCCTAATACTGTACTATTTTGTATGTAGTGAACATAATGCCTCTTTTCTTCTCTCTTCTGGGTTTGGTATATTTAAGGTGTAGTGGCTAAAACACAAGCTTTATAAGGAGAGGTCCTGGATGTATTTTCTGAATGTGATTTTGAATTAGGATGTGAAAGTGATTCTAAACCAGAAATTGCATAATGTTCCAGGAACTTAAACCAAGGCTAAGCAGTAAGGTTTGTTGAAGAAGAACACAAATTTTAGCTAGAAAATCAGTGTAATAGAAACTGATTCTTATTAATTTTTTAAGATTTAATTTAGAATGATGTTATAGCTTTATTTCTCATCAACTGATTTACACAAATATAATTTTAAGCTATTTCATTTGATTTTTCCTTTGAGGTCAGATCAGCTGTGCCCAGAGAAGAGTATCATGCACAATTAGGCAGAATGATGTTCTGATACCAGTCTACTTCATGGCATTTCTGCCCATGAAGTCCCGGTCATGGGACCGGGTGCTCTCTCTTCTCTCTTAGTTGTGGTGGCCCCTTTGGTTCAGGATTGTTTTTCTAATGCTCTTTTCTTGTTGGCATTGACCTCTGGGGTCAGGTCAGGGAGCTTCATGCTCTCCGCTAGCGCAGAAGTTTGTGCTCTTTTGGTCCTGGTGATCGGTTTGTTCGTTTGCAGCCATCTCCTTCTTTTCTGGCGAAGAATGAGACTGCTGCTTTCCGGAGGGGTTATCTTGGTTATCTTGAGATGATTTCAGAGCTTTTTAGTGTCCCCGCGGCCCGGTCCTCGACCAGGCCTCCGGGTCCTTTGGTTGTTGATGTATGGTTGGTTTGGCCAAGGGTGCATCATATCTTGCGTCCAGTTGTGGCTCTTCGGCGTTACTTGCGTGCCACACAGCCTCAGTGGCTGAAGACATACTTTGGGTGAACCTGGTTTCCCTTTTCCCCTGTTCCAGGGCTTGGGTCTCCCAGGTCTTCCCTAGGGTTATTCGATCCAGCCAGCCTGCGGTCTATCCCTGTGCCCACGACGTTCGTAAGTTCATGGCTTTGGTTGCTGTTTTTGCTAACATGTCCTGGGCTGACATTCAGATGCGATTATTGGTGGTTGAATAGAGTTCTGGCTGCACGGTACCTTGTTAATGTTCCTGGCCCTGCTCAGGTGTGTGTAGCCTTGGGTCGCAGGTTGCAGCCAGTTGTCTCGACTTTGAGTTGAGAAGCGAGTGGCGACCGCCTCCCACTCCCAGGTAAGTCCCTCCTTTTCTTGTCTTTGGTTAGGTAACTCCGAGGAGCCAGAAGGGCTCTCCACAGAAAACCAGCATTAAATGTAATGAAATGGCATTTTCTGGGCAAATCCCGGAGGCTCTCCGGCAACCCTCCCTCCCTCTGGTCGGCGTTTTTTTTTGTGTGTGTTTTTTTTACATTCTCTGAACTGGGGCTGGATAGCCAGCGCAGGGGTTTTGGGGCTCCCCCCTTTTCCCTTCTAGGGAGGGGGAAGGGGGAGCCCCAAAGACTGTTTGTCTTTTCCTGTCTGCCCCAAAGACAGACAGGGAGACTGTCTGCGCCGCTGTCCACTGTGTAGACACAGGGGTACAGCGGCAATGGTGACATCATGTTTGTTTGCTTGTTTTCAGTTTGGGGAGTTCTGCTTGCTAGTTCAGCTTTCAGTCGCAAATTTTAACCAGCTGTAGTTTGCTTTGGGACGCCTACCTTTCTGGGTGCCTAACCCGGTAGATGGCAGACATAGAATGCTTCCAACCACACGGGGGTTTCTAAAGGCCATTGCTCCTCATGCCTCTCTGAGGGGGCCAGGTTCTGGCTCATGGTTCCCGGTAGGCATAGAACTCAAATCGAATTGACTGATGACATGGTCTAATACATACATACATATTAGCCTGGTAAGCTCCAAGGAGCCTCAGGGACTCTCCCAGCAAATGGCATTTCATTACATTCAACGCTGGTTGTCTGTTTCTGAATAGTTTTTCTCAGAGTACAAAGTTCAGGCTTTCTTGGTTAGGCAAGCTCTCCCATTTCTCAGCACAAGATAGTGAAAATGAGGTAACCTTTGGATTTTTCCTGAGATCATGTGTGGAGACTGGTTGCTACCTATATAGCTCTAAGACTAAAGATCTGTGACCCATGTAGCTTCTGGAATACATACTCCACATGCTAAACTAATGTCCCTCCAAGATGTGACTGGGTCTGTGGTGGATTTGAATGGTTGGGATGTTTTCACCTACAGCTCTACCCTTTAGTATTTCTTTGGCCTGATCCCTCTGTTACTCAAATTCAAGTAGGTTTATTGGGATAATCAAATACATCCAAAAGGGTAGAGTAGCTTAGGGTATTTCTACTTTTTCCAGTTTCTATTGTTATCTTGCTTTTCATGTGCACAGAGTCGGTTCTTTGTCTGGATGCATATTGGGTGACTTGGGCCCATAGTAGCCATTGGTGTGATTATGGTGGTGTGTAAGTCTGGCTAGGCCTACGAGTAGTAAGAGCACTCTTTTTGGGGGTAACCTCTGATTCCAAGTTAGTAGTTTTTTAATGGCTGGTCATCCTGGGCTTGATTGAGCTATTTCTAGTGACACACTAACACCCATTTTAACCTGCAGGGACTGTTTGAAAAGATGTGTGTGTTGCCGGTGTCAGGATGTCATTCTACCTAACTGTACATGATCCCGTCCTAATAACACATCTGGTCCTAATCTGGGGAATAGTGAATCAATTTGCTTAAATAAGTGCTTTACATATTAATTAAGAGCAATATTTTTGTAACATGCAGGGCATACATGGTGAGCCAAAACTCCTTGTGCACTTAACTACATAAAATACTAAGACAAGGAATAATTGGACAAGGACACTGTTCCAGATGAGAAGTAGGACTAGAGGGCACATGTGAAAACAAGAAACTTAAATAAGCCACTTAAATGTAAAGAAATATTCCTTCAGTGTACTATTACTATTGACAATGCTCAGTGAACTGAAGGCAGTGGTTATTGAGGCCACTGCAATCTGTAGCTCTAAAAATAAATTTAACTGTCTGGAAATTGAGAATAGTGGTGCACCAAATGAGAAGATATTGGCCTCCTGAGTTTTCCCCTACCCACAGGCACATACAGGTAAGAACAAGGCCTGTTTAGATAATCCATGCATATAAATGCAAATACATTTAACATTTTTATTGATTTTGTGGGGGAAGGGGAAGTCAAGGTCACCATGCCATAAATCTTGTACAAGAAAGGTGTTCTTTTAGTTATTCACTGAATATACTGTACTGTAGTATTATACAGAAATATTTGTCTGATAGGTGCACAAGGATGTTTGGCTCGCCCTATATTTTAAGCTGTTTGAGTGATAGAATTTTTCACTTGCTAGTGTGATCCCGTGATGACATGCTACAAGTTGGTGACATGTGAATTCAAGTGGTTTGGGCTGCAGGCACGCGTAGAGAAGTTCATCCAGGATGCTGAGCGCAGACTGTTTACCAACTTTCATCGGTAAAACACTTCATAATGACTTTTACATTGTTTAGTATTCTGAATAGAATTAGGGCTCCAAGAGTGAGAAAGTACAGTATGGTTAGAATACAGATTAAAATAGAAATGCAAATATTTTAATTACATTATCTAGCAAACTTATAAGTACCTTCTTTTGCATAGGAATTTGTGTGGTTTTAATGATGTCCTGAATTAACTGAGAGGGGGCCATGAAATTTGTCAGGAATGTATGTTGGGAGATGATCATTAAAATATGAGAGTATTCTCCAGTAAAGGGCATTATCTACAATTGAACAGCAATCTTTAGAGAGAGGTTCAAGATGTGTATCCTCCTTGCTTCTCAGGAAGCAGTTAGTAGTTTTGGCAATTTTTGTGCTCGAATAAAGCATTTCGCGCCATCTTCAGAAGTTTTATCTCATTGATATTCATATACTGAAAAAATTAAAAGAATTGATGAATCTCAATTATTCCCTTCTGTAGACAATATATGAAAAATAAAAGAACCCTTGAGCAAGGGAAATTAAAATCACTGAATATTATAGTGAAGTGAATTATTCCCAGACAAGTGTTTTGTTGGATGGACGAGTGGCATGGCATGACCATGGATGATATCCGGCGGTTAGAAGATAAAACAAAGGAAGAACTGGATCAGGTATGTACTTGACATTTATTTATGACTCATTTTTATTTCGGTAGTAGTCATTGGAACTGATGATAAATGTTGTACTACAATGTATGAGACCAATCTCTTAAATACTTAGCTTGCCTCTTTTGTCATATTACAAGAAATTTAGCCAAGGAAATTGTATAAACTATTTTCAAGAATTGTGCCACAACAAAATTGACTGATTCTCCACTAGTTCATTTGTGAACACATTTATCTCTACTTGTTAACACTTTCGCTCGGGGATGACGCAGCATTGCGTCATCCACTTTAAAAATTCGCCAAAAATCAGGTTTGTATCCGATGTTTTGGGGACTGGTTTTAAAATGTGCGCCGATGTCTTCCCATTTCCTTTGTTGAGCCTCGTGGCCCTCAGGCGGCTTGGCACACGCCGTGGGCCCATTGTCTTTGCTCCACTGTTGTGACCAATGTCGTCTCCCCTCGCATCTCAAACGTGTGAACATTTCGGCTATTTTCCGTGGCTATATTTCTTACTGCGGCTTTAGAAACTATCTACGCTTACTCCACGATGGATAGTAATCATGAACAAGGCCCTTCCAGGAAGAAAATTGCGAAAGAAAGGCTTGAAAAGGGTGGGAATTGGGAGTGTAGTAGGAAGGCCTCTGAGCGCTCACTCACGGCTAACGCGTGGCCCGTCTTCAACTCGTCGGCGGTTGGAGCGTGACCAGGTGTTTTTTTTATATGCTAATGTTCCTCTAGAGAATTTTATTACGAACCCATTGAGACCAAAATGAAAGACCTAGGACAAAAATTGAGGTGACCAGAGTGAAAATAGTGAAAACATTTTATCCCGTTTGCACGCTCCCGGGTAACTCGTTCGCACTTTCTCTGTTTGCTGCGGGTAATTAGCCGGGCTTTTGGAGTTTATATGCATTTAGTGCTGTAGAGAATTTTATTGCGAACACAATGATACCAAATTTATTCTCGTAGAAGGAGAATTGAGGTGACAAAGTTGAAGAGAGTATACACTTTTCGGAATTAACGCGCGCTTCCGTGACACGCTGGGGCCCATATCGCCCTGTCGAGGGGTGGCGCGCGGGGTGAGCGAAAGTGTTAATCAGTTGTACTGTATTACATTACCTTCAATACCAGCTTGAAATAGTGTAAGTCTCGTAGGAAGAGGAAAATATTTGTTTGTAAATTTCTCTTGTTAATTTTAAATGATTTAATGAATAAAGGAGCTAAAGTCTGACAGTAGAGAATTTGACCATAAATACAGGAATTAATGCAAGCACTATAGCAGCATTCGTCTACGAAGTACTGCATAGTTGGCCATGTATATGGTTAATAGTTATTGTAAGAGCATAGGTAATGTGGTGGAATTATTTGGGGAATAATAAGTTGGGGTTTTGTAGTGGAATAGGTTTTCTGGATCTGATATTTGGCAACATTGAGATATCTAGTAGAGAAGACATATGAGGAAGATTTTAAAGTGTTATTTATGTATATGGAGAACTGTCATGGAAAATAATGTGATTTAACTGAGAGGGCCAATGGTACAAGATAAGAGAGTTCCTAAAATAGTGGAATTAGGAAGGCCCTGGCTCCCCAGGGAAAAATATTCCCAATAAATACTAAGAGTTAGGTTAGGATGTATATCCGCAGTCTAAGGTGATCCCCCTATTCCACACTCAGCAGGATTAAAGGAAACCTCCTTTCTTATTCCTTATTTATTAAACCCTCTAATTACCCCCATATACATTAACCCAACTATTCTCTTTACCACTTTACTTTATTTATCTTACGTTAAATACCTTGGTCCACATAAGCAGGATACAAGGTTTACAATGGCAACTAGGGTAAAGACTTCTTGGCAAGGGACACTAGCAGGGACTCGAGGTAGCCTGGTACCACTTGAGCATACGTGGTTCCACCGAGACCCCTTAGTGTAACTTAGCAATATAAACACTAGTGTAGACTATACACTTTACTACACACTTATGCCAGAAACCGTACATGTAACACGGTACTTATCTTGTTGAACTAGACACAGGATAAGGTAAGGGAAGAGGAGTAGAAGAAATAGAAACACACAGGAGAGTTGTGTCCCACCACCACACAGCCAGCCAGAGAGAGCTTAAACAGCCTTTGCGCTCCCATATAAACGCTGCCGGGAAATGATGCCTAGGTGATCGTACAGCCACCACAATACAAATCTTCACCGACCTTCATTACTAGTTACTTTAACAATTCTAAGGGTAGCTGATACTTAGTTCAGCATTATATTTAATAGTCAACAAGCTCAGTCTGAATGCTCTGTGAGAAGATTCATCTTACGTTTAGCAAGGAAGATAGGAACAAAAGCGCATCAGCGGTGAGGGGAGCCAGAGTATAAATGTTGTTGTTAATTAACTATCCTTCTCACATGATCCAATCCCATCAATTAATGTAAAGTAATTATTTAGAGCTCAATTTGACCTCTGTTTCCAACTAAGGAACCCAGGGTTGTAACAAGAACATATTACAAAGGGAATAAAATGGGTCTCTGGAGAGTAATGTGCTAGGGCTCTATAATGTTGATGGATGTTACCAAGTAATATGAAGACATTTTATTCAGGAATTAGGATATGCGTAAAAAGTTAATGGAATAAAGAACATTTTAATAGTTATGTACACACGGGGTGTAGTTTGTCCCTGTTGTAGTTTACTGTATAAATGGATGAGATCATGAGCTAATTATTAAAGGGGGGTGTTAATTTAGTATAGTATATAGGAAGAATAAATAGCCTATCTAGTTGATATATGGAGATTGCAGAACGTTATAGTTATTAGAAGTTTAACTAAATGTTTGACTTGCGAGAAAACATTACTGTAAGTGAATGTGAACAAAAATAGTGAAGTGGTGGTGGTGGTGGATAGAGAATGGAATCTAGTGTTTGAAACAGGATTAAATGGAAATTTCTTAGAAATAATTAACCATTTTATTTCTCAGCCTTTAATCAACAACGAAGGAAGAATGAGAGGTAGAGCTACAGCTTGGGGGCTGCATGGTGGTACCCATCCATATGTATAGATGAGAGATGTTTGTGTGGTATGGATATTGAAAGTCATGAGTTAGAGCGTTATTAATGGACAATATGTTGTGCATTTATGATGTCAGGAGATGGCTAGAAAATACAAATGTCATGTAAAGGTGTTTGCAGAAGTTTGGTCATATTAAGCAAATGGGTTATGAGTTTAAATGTGAATGAGATTAGAGGGAGGCCAAGAATATTATGAACAGTGATAGTGAGTGAGTATATGAGGAAGTGGGGATTGTGTGAACAGTGCACAAGAAGCATTAGGGAGTAAGTCTAGTAAGTCTAGGTGGAATCATTTGTTGGAGCACTTGCTAAACATTCTGTAAGATGACAGAATGCAGGAAGTTGCACTACACTAAACTGTGTTGAATACTGAAGCACTACTCGGGATGTTTTGCTAGCATTTCAAGATGATTATTCAATTGGGATTATTTTATGTGGATGATATTGTGAATGAAAGCGTATATTTTTGTACTCTCTTTATCCTTTCCTTTTATTGCTCTCCTAATTTCATTCAGGCTGATAACTTCCCACTCATGAAAATGGGAAATGAGATAATGATGAAAATGTTTTCTCATCACATTAAATAGAGTATTTCCTGGAGTGAGCTGTACTCATATCTACATAAGCCATACATACATACTGTTGAATGTTATATCATTTCTCACTAGTTGTTCTACTCATTTGGTTTTCATTATTTTTTATGGTTTTTACTACAACACTTGTCAGTGACAAAGGTCTATAATTAAGAGGGTGTTCTGCTACAAATTTTATAGATTGGAATATAATATTCTTCATATTTTGAATGTTTTTACTTTAGATTTTTATTTAAAGTGCAATGTTGTGTTAGGCTGTCTATAGTATTTTTATATCATAGAATATATAGAATATTGGTACATAGGTACAGTATATTTGTCACTAATATCAATTAATATACTATATACATGCATTATATAACTATCTAAATTTTTGTGAACCATAATGAACCACTAAGCTGGTCTGGTGGTCAAACATCATTGCACCACTACACACTATCATGGTGGCTATTGATGGATGTGACTATCACCTCACGTTCCAACTATCTACTACTGTTGTTGGCAAAAGTGAAATTTCTAATGCTTTTAAGCACTTTGTTTCCATAGTTTGAATCTATGACCTCTTGTTCTTGAAGTTGTAGGTTTCAAGAATACTTTGTAAATTTTGTCGATTCCCGTTACTATTTTGTATGTAGTACTATTTTGTGTTTCTTCTATCTTCTAGCTTTTGTATAATTAATACCTCTAGCCTCACCTCATAGCCCTTATTTTTCAGTTCTGCAATCCATTTGGTAGCATTTCTTTGTAGTGATTGTACAAAAAGTGCTTCTCCTTTGTTAAATAAGTTCTGTTTTAGTTTCAATGTTCATACAATGACTTGATTATATAATTTTATTTTAAAGATTGTATGGTATTTGTAGCATTTTCTGTGGGGGAGCCCCTTCGGCTCCCTGGAGCTATCTGTCTAATATGCGATATGTTAGTCTTGGGCATCACTCAGAGTTCAACCTACCAGGGACCACGAGCCAGAACCTATCCCCTTCAGAGAGGCAAAGGGAACAATGGCCTATGGAAGCCCCCTTGTATATGGGCAGACAGGAAATGGCCCCATCGACTGGGGTTAGCACCCAGAAAGGTAGGTATAGCAAAACAGACCCCGGATGGTAAGAAAATTGCAACCGAAGACAGAACTGAGAGGCAGAACTCCCCAACCTAAAGAACAAGTAAACAAGCAAACATCACACACTGCTTCCATGCCGCTTGTTCGCACACTCCTTCCCTCCCGTCCCCTCCGCGCTGGCTATTCAAAACCTCCAGTTCATTGGCTGATGCGATCTGGGGCAGTCATTGACTCTGGCCTCAGATTCTTGGCAGTTGTGTACCTTAGTGATGTGTTCTGCTGTGTGGTGCA